GTTGAGTGACAAGAAGCTGATATTTAAAAAAAAATACATGCATATTAAGTGTTCTTTTGATATCGCTAACTATTTACAGAATGTAATCTGTATATGTGCATATTTCAACAAAAACTCTGACTGATGTAGACATTGATATTATAATTCAGAAACGTTTTTAAGGAGTATATAGTAACTGCTATTAGGTTAAGTTATTGATTAATATGTACATTAGTGCTATTTCTTATAAACAAAAAAATATCAGCATAAAGGAAGAAAAGTAATATTTTTATTAAGTTATTGGTAAAAATTAAGTGACTGATACAAAAAAAAATGTTTAAAACCAGTAACTTTCATAATTTAATAATAATAATAAAAAGTCATATACTTTGAATTTGGTGACCTACTGAAAATGAAAATTTTGTTTAAGAGAAGGTTGATGAAAAAAAAAATACTGTACTTGATTGGAAACTTCTGTGCACAACATTTGTCTGGAAGTGCTTGAGCTGCTGGTGCAGATTTTTATCAGGTCAAATTGGCTAAGTTTGTTCAGATGAAATATTGTTGAAATGCATCCATAACTGAGAACTGGGAGAGTTGTTTTCTGAAATATGTAAAAAAAGAAAAAAAAACTGGGGGTGGATGTATGGGTGAGTTAAAGTGAGGAAAGATGAAATGTGGAAGAGCATGGTTGGAGTAGATAACTCTGAGTCTTGGGCAAGAGGATTATCAGAAGTATACTGGAGATTGAACTGCGTGCAAATCATTTTCTTCCCCTTGCAGATCATAAAATTGTTTATTTAATCTGAGTTTGTGTCTCTGGTCCGATGGCCTTTTCCACCACAAGTTTATTGTTCCACAATCCTATTGAAATTTAAATAAATCAGTGAATTAATGGTTGACTTAAAATTTTAACCCCCAAAAATAAATTAATGGTTACGATTTATATGTAAACATTAAGTAATTAGTAACATAAAAAACAAATTTCAGCAAAAACAAAAGGATTCAATGTATAATTACAATTACCTGAAATAAAAGAGTATATAGAAAAAAAAATGTGTATATATATAAATTACATAACATAAAATATACAATTTATAAAATATGATAATTCAATAAAGTTTAATACATAATTATATTAAAATAAACTAAAATATAGAGAAAAAACATAATTAATTTAGAATAATATAAATTACATAAATTACAAGTTGCTTACAAAAAAAAAGGACTAAATGCAGAATTTATTTAGTTTTAAAATCAGTCCTATTTGTAAGTTCTTTAAGAAAACATTTTTGTGTTTATTGTAATACTTAATAAAGATCTTTCATCTGACAAAGAGAAAGTAGCTTTAATATGTAATCCTATAATTCTTGTATAAGAAGGTAACTTAATAGCTGATCTTAAGACAGAATATTGAGTTCCTTGGAGAAACTGAGATTGTGTTCAGAAAGGTCAGAGAAATAACGTTTAGAAAGAATGATTTGTGTGCTTTTGACCTAGACATTTTGGTGAGGGAATTCATTTGTAGGCTTTAATTCATTATTCAATATGATGTTGGTGATTAAAATAGGTAAATAAGTATCTGTTTAGATGTATAGATGACTAGATAGTTTGATCCATGACATGTTGGAATACACTGGTCATACTACATGTATTTAATAAGTGAAGTGTATTGCAACTAATGTATGTTACATTTCCATGTATTATGGTTTTAGAAATGTATTTTTATTGCCTATGTAGAATAATAATTAGTTTACTTGTAAAGGTCGTTTATTTAAGTAGTAATAAACAGTTTTTTTGCACTATGTGGGATTTGCTTGATTATATCTAACTGGGAGTAAATATTTGGATTTAGAAATTATAAAAATGTCTTGTTCGGTGTTGGTTGTCAAGATGCAACTTAAAAGTGTGTTATGTAGTACTATACACAAGGGGAAATGTTCATCTACCTGCTATTATGTTCACCTCTGTGAAAGTTTTTCCCACATTGTACATAACTTTAAAGAAATTTAATTATCTGTCTATTAACTTCAATAAATTGTCCAAAAACTGTACTTTGATATTGGAATTTAATGAAAATAATTTTATTGTATTCTGTAATTTTTCATGCAAAATATCCGGTTAACATCCACCACATTTGATAATATTCTCAGAATACAGTAGGCTACAAGAGAGAAGTGTATTCAAGGCATAAACTGTCTTGTATTTTTCAGAGGGATAGACACTCAACATGCTGTAAACATGAAACTTATGGAGTATACTAAATTGTGACTTTGTAATACATAGAACAGTTTGTTTCTGTATAAATAGATTTGTTCACAAAGAAAAACTATAATTTTTGGATATATATGGATGGAGAGAGAGATGGGAGGAGGGGGGGTAAAGGCAGGTCAAAAACCTCAATTCTGTGAAATATTTTGGCCATTGATCCCTATGAAGTGAAAGGTACAAATCCAATATCAGTCTGTTATAATATCTAGAGATTGTCTCAAGGTATATCCATGCCAAATCTCATTTGAATTGGTTAAAAGGATAAAAAGAAATAAGAGGTTGAAAAAACTCTAGTCTTTGTATTATTTTTTTATTATTTTGGACCTTGTAAAACACAGAGGCACAAATCCCAGATATGTCTTTTGTTGGGGATCTTGCAAGGTATACTTGTGCAAAATTTCATTTAGGTTGGCCAAATTATAGAGAAATAGTAAGCCAAAAACCTTAATTGTGTGAAATATTTTAACCTCTGACCCCTGTAAAATTGCATTGTAAGAAAGGCACTAAAATCAAAATGTATGCGTTTCAATCTGTAGGCAATCTTGCAAAGTATCATTGCATAAGGTCATATATATATAATGGTCCAACTTTAAAGGAATAGCAGACCAAAAGCCATAACTTTGCCAGTTGCTTTTACATTTTACCCCTGTAAAATCATAAGGGACAAATCCTAAATCTGTCCACTTTAGTCTATGGGGATTGTTGCAAGGCATCTTTATGCCGAGTCTCATTTGGATTGATGGAAATATAAAAGAACTGCAGGCCAAAATATATTTTCTAATGTTTGACCTTTGACCCCCCTCCCATAAAATCTAAAATAAAGAAAACTGAAAAAGTTGTCTGTGTATTTTAGACTAATGTATATACCCTAGAAGTTTTGAGACCGGTTGCCTAGAATTAGAATTGTGGTGTACAGTTGTAAATGTTGGAAAGAAGAAAGAAACTCAAAATACAATATATTCTCTGATTTGGTTCATTTGTTTATTTTTATTTTTTCGTTTATGAACAACCTTTGTGCATGTTCAACTGGTATATTTCAGTATAGTTTCATAAAATTTGGTATAATTATTAGCTTTTTGTATGAACATTTACACATGTAGTATAAACGATAAATTACATACATGGCGAGTGTCACACTGAATCTCGTTTTCTTATCATTCTTATGGTCAGAGTATATCTTAGTGGGTAGCACATTAGGCAGTGAAGCAGAGGATCCAAGGTTTGAGCCATGATATGCCACTGAATATTATCCTTCTTTTCAGCTGTGAGAGCATTATAACTGTGTCTGTCAGTGAACCCCAATATTTATTTTAAGAGTTAATGCAAGGTAGTAGGTGATACTGACTGGTTGCTCTCCACCCACCACCTTCTTCAGCAGTTCTACGAATTAAGGATGGCTCTCTCTGTTCGTTTAGTCTATGGTTGTGTAACATGTCGTTAAGATTGAAAACATCAACACCAATTGTGGTCCTTTGTGCTAATTCTTTCATTATGGCTCATAAATCATTGACCCATTAGTGTGCCTAATATTGCCGTTAGATAGAAAATATATTGGCTGACCTATAATGATGATTGACCCCAATTCAAACTATCAGAATTAATCAATCTGACATTTAATACATAAACAGTTTTTCACATAGCATGTACAATAATCCGTGAGAAAACTGTCATCATTGAATAATATTACTGCTTCTACTGTCAGATTTTATCCTTGTAAGTTGAGTCTACGGTACAGGAAATGTAACAAAACAAATTATCAATATTCGAAACTTCCAATTACTTTTTATTTCGGCGATTATTGATCAACATTTTAGCCAGACTTACTGTAGCATACGTTACTAACTGAAGGTAGATCGTGTTTGAAATAATCGCATTATTTTGATTAGCTTATAGAACGGATACACAGTGTTGTACATGTACGTATGTTGATAAAAGATTTACAAGAAATTATAGAAATAATGTATTACCATCATTTGGTTGTAACATGCTTATTTAGTTATATTGAGTCGTTGATGACATAGTTTGGTTTTAATTATTTGTGTCACATTAAAATAATTATTTTTAACGGTCATTAACATGAAAGTTATATATTAGCTGATGATTTCATGTTTGTTTAACATGTTTAGAAACCGGTGGCGATCAATAAATTGTTTTAAGTGATTATTAATTAGATAACTAAAGACATTGACCTTCTCATATTCCATACTTGTTAGATAAGACATTGACCGTCTGATATTCCATTCATGCTCGACCTGCAGCTGCCTTGTTCTCAAGAAAAAAACTGTATGACGTCATTCATTCTTTCATGTAAGTGTGTATACCTAGTGCAGAAGGAGACGGTTTTGACGTCAGTAATCACGTTCGCTCAGGTAGTAGGCGGACAATTTTCCGTTATCGTGTATCCCGAGTTAGCTTGCCTACGTATACTAACTCAAAGTAAAACTACGGTTAGAAAAGGTCGAGCCGAGACCCTGAGAGTGAAAATGTCAGGTGTTACTAACATGCTCAGAGTTATTGGCGGATATGTATTACAAAGATATATGGCGCTGCCCGGATAACCAATAATTATCGTGTTCAAATTTCCACCTGTGGCACACGATTGAACATTCTGCTGTAGTGTGTAACTTTTATAGTCTCGATGATGATTCGTAGACCACTTTCCGTCATGATCGTTGAATTCAAATATTGATTTTTCTCTATTAACTCGGAGAACGGCGGTTTTGATGTGTGTTATATTCTTTACTTTGCAGCGTCTCGCAACTCGAACCCTTCTCTTCGTCTTGCATCATCTCGTTGCCATAGTGACGAGACGTGAGGCCTAAAGGTTTTAATCGTTTGCAGCCATATTGAACATGTGGCGCCTGACCTAGTGAACAATGCCTTGACACTGGAGCCTATGGAGTTGATCAATGGTCGTGGAATCCTTTTAGCTTACGGAACTTGTGAGATATAATGAGACGGCAGTATTTGTGTGGACAGACAAGATTTTCTTATCTATACGTTTGTTAATTTGTTTCAAACAGTGTTGAAAACACACTGTCTTGGAGAAAAAGCAAAACGTAACTATTAAGTTAAAAACGTTGAACATTAATAAAAAATAAATAAAATGATAGTCTTACAAAAACAGAAAGAAATACCAGAAGTTTTAAGAATAATAGTTAGGGTTATTTTAATTGAGAAAAGAATACTGGATGTTTTTACTTTGTTATACTATTATAGAAGTTGATTCATACATGCAGTTCAGCGTGGGAGGGTTTTCGTTCTCATGTGGGTAAGGTCGGGCAAACTAACATTCATTACGAGATTGCAGAACTGGGAACGAAAGATTTCCAAAAGCTTTCAGTAATTGAAAAGTTAGGGTATTAAGAGAGAGTTGATTTAACGAGCCTAAATGTACTATACTAACTTTTTGACACGTTTACACGGATTACGTGTGAAAGTTCGTTTTGGAAGTTTTAGAAACTCAGCATTGCAGTGTTCGTGAAATATGCTTTTACTCATTTCAGACGTCAAAAAGAGATTTTTTTTTCAAATTATTAAAATACGTTGTATAAAATAGTGCCCCTCCTCATCAATATAAAATGTTTGAAACTATTACAAAATATTTGACTGTACCTGTATAATGGTATAGTATGTGGTTAAAGGACCATTTCTCTGTAGCCACACACAGTTCATTCGTGTTACTGACCCCAGAAATAACGTTCACCGAGTCAGTTATGTTCATGAACCGTGGATTGTTTCCATTCTTTTCTTGTAAGATGTGAATTGAAACAATATTGCAACGAAAACGAGTCAATTGAGTGAATTATTATGTTTTTTGGGGAGAAATTCCCCTTTAAAATACATTTGCTAACTGAGTTTAATTGCAACCTTCAACGAGTTTGAATTAATCAATATATTTCAAATTGCACCTATTGAAATTTAGGTCAATAAAGATATTATCATATTTTCGGTGCCTTTGAAAATTTATGGAGACTAAAGTTAGGCTTGCACTACGCCAGTATGTTGACCCAGCATTGTTTTAATTTTAATAATGTTTTCATGTTTCACTAAAATATGTTGGGCTAATATGTTAGCAATTTTTTTGCTAAGAAATAAATTGTGTTTTCGCTGAGAGTCGAAAAAGAAATACATGATTGGTAATGTCAAGCATGCTCAGCAGTAGTGGTAGTGTAGAACCTCCACGCAACACACACAGTTGTCGTCCTATGTACTTCTTTGGAGTTGACATTGTTTCGCAGTGTAGAGTGGTCACGTCAATCAATCATTTAATTACTTGAATAATTTTATTGAAGATTAGGGCTGTGGTACGTAAGTTCTGCAGATCTTAGAAACCGAAATAAGGTGGAAGATGAAGATGCACTTGTAAGATCGTTCATCAACGACCCAAATTCACCACGTGTTCTACAAAAAGTTTCGTACTTGTCTCCTTCGACTTTTTCTCTTCTGTGACTCATTTAAAATGACAATACAAGTTACGCTGCAAGTAAGAAGTTCATTTAACGAATTCGTGACAGCTACTGAGGCGCAAAAAAAGTGTTTTTATTTTACAAATATGTACTTTAACATGAACACGATTCTACCAGAATGTTTTGTTGGTCCCCATCTCCAACATGTTGATGTAGTGTAAACCTACCTTACGTTGAAACATATCTGCCAACATTTATTTGTTTTCTATAAGTGAGAAAGATGTTGCCTCGACATATACGGTTATTAAAAATAGTCCCATTTTGGTCAATTCCCGCGTTTACTTCAATTCAAATACTACCTTAGCTATGTAGCCAGTAATTCGAGCCGTCAAATACCTAAACAGTACAATTGGAATATATCAGTCAAATATCCACAAGAAATAACTACTCGTTGGTTACTGTAATAATTTGATTTATAATTGGCGGTTCTCTATGAAATTGTCGATTTTTGGTAGAAAATACAAATATAGTGAAGATACTTATAAAAAAAACTAGATAGAGTTTACAGGTATGTTATTAATATTTACGAATTGTTGTAATTGGATATTCTTAAAAATAAATTATGATACTTGATTTGTTTTGTTTTACTTTGGGAACATGGCTTATCTGTAACTATTGATCAATTTATTTTTTCAATCTTTTACAAATAGGGTGACCAGATGCTGAAATCATAAAATCGAGACACAGAGTTTCAAATATTAAAACTGGGACTTTTCCCCCCACTTTTTTAGAGAAAATTGTAATTTGCCATGAATTTATCGCAAAATTCTGAGCAACTGTCATTCCTGTTCACCCTTCTTTAAATAAGTGCTTCACGATTTGAGTTTTGAGCCCGGCTGTGAAAAGCTTGTACAATTTGCATGCAACTGTCTCTCTCTGTTTTGGCGAGTGCAAAATCACGAGCTCGGTGACAATGCTATAATGGCATCATGTCCTCTGCTAAAACCTAGGTGCCTTACAGCCAAATTCACGGAAAGCAGCAAAAACTATACGCTTCGCTATTCCGAGAAGTGTAATAATTTCTCTACTCAGTTCCAAATTTTGTATCTGTTAATTTACTATTGTTAATTAAACGATTTCGGATTACTGACAAAAATTGAAACCGGACATTTAGGTATCTCAAAAGGATCTACCGTGAACCGAGACAATATGCCAAGAGCCGGAATTTCTGGTCATCCTTGCTACAATTCGTAGCATAGTTTGGAGAAAATTCTTAAGGTTAAAAAGTATTAATATCAATGTAGGCAGAGAGTTTTAAAGCACTAAAATTAGGGGTTCGATCATTGCGATGTATACAACGTAGACAGTACAACCATAGAGTTTTAATTGCTTTTGTGCTACTTGTAAAACCCATAAGTTAGGCTCTAAATATACCTTACACAGTATAAGTTGTCATATTTCAAAATTCAGTGATTATTGAAGTATGTCAGAGGGGATAAGAATGACACGTCAGAGCTGTACATAGTTCTATAATAGTCGAAGTGACTTAACATCCCGCTGTTTTTCTATAATGCAACTTAACCCGAAGAAAAAAAAATAAGAACTTGGAATAAAAGTTGATCCCACCAAATAAAGTAAAAGAAAAACACTGAAAATATATTAAATATTTATTTGATGCACGCATATTAAGTGATAGAAGGAAGTAAAAGACGGGCTGTACTTCAGGGAATATATAATTAAAAGATGCATGATACAGGAGGGTGGCAGCTCTCGCAGTTGACGAGATTTCACTACGATGTCTTACCTACTTGTACCTGTCGATAAACTTAACAGTGTGTTGTTATGATTTATTTAAAAACGAAGTTTTATTATTTCTTAATCGAATCAGGATTATAAATATAGATTATCAATTGCACATTAATTAAACAACAGGACAATAAAATTATTGTCGGTTATATTTTTATAACCTACTATTTTATTAATATGTTGCACTACTCGGACGATAAATATGGTGGTTTCTAAAATACTTTTACGACTATTAGATATTTTCATTTATTTAATATTTTGAGGTTATTTATTTTTTCTTGTGGTTTTTCATGGTATTTTATACGATTACTTGTTTTCTATTTTTTAAGGAAGGTAGAAACTAGAATAGACGTACATTACATCAATTTGTTTGTTTTTGAATTTCGCGCAAAGCTACACGAGGGCTACCTGCGCTAGCCGTCCCTAATTTAGCAGTGTAAGATTAGAGAGAAGGCAGCTAGTCATCACCACCCACCGCCAACTCTTGGGCTACTCTTTTACCAACGAATATTGGGATTGTTCACATCGAAGTAGGGTCTTAATTGCCGATATCACAAGATTTATTAAACTGTTATACACGAAAGTATTGTACATATAGCAAACCCTTAGTTTTTGCATGTTTAAAGATTGATTAGATCAATGTGATTAATAAATATTCGTTTAATTAAATATTTTGTATAGTTCGTTAAAAATTGCGCCATTAGGAACAGGTACAGTGTTATCCCGTGTTTAACTCGTATGTTAGAGATCACTTGGCGTGCGGAGTATTCGATCCCAGGACTTAAAAAGATGGATTACCAAAGATGTATCATAGTCTTTTTCTTAGTGACACTATTAGAATACTATAGTATTTGAAATATTACATCATTGGCAAATTTTACAAATCCTAGTACTTTTAAAAAGATGTTTCCACTATAAGGTTTTAAGGATTTGGACTTTTTTTTTTTTTGGACGTCGCCTATAGCCTTGAGTATTTTTAATATTGTTAAAAGTCGTGATTACACATAGGATATTCTAGCACTAAGCTGAGACAACGATATATGCCATTTATGTGATATTTCTGATAAGAGCCTGCACAGTCAACACAAGTGTTTTAAAAGAAGTGGCATAATAAGACATTATTATTTGTTAGTCATGGGTCTGAGTTCCTCTTTCTTTAGAAGCTGTTACTTGCCTACGGAAGAGTCAGTGACCCCCAAACAACTCACGAAACAGCAAGGGAGCATCTCGAAACACTTTCCATGATGCCTGAAATTAGCAGTATTTTTCTTATATTTTCCAACGTCTTGTGGCTTCTGCAGATTTCTATTATAAGAAATGTAGTTCCCCAAAACATAATGTTTTTAATAGTCTTGTACGATCTTATTAGGTAATAGTTATATATATATATATCCCTGATGTAGATGGCGGTAACAAGTTTATCTTTGTTTAACTTAAGTTGTACTTTGGTATCAGCTGTCCACAGTAAAAACTGTAGTACTATAATTAGAAGACATCGACAGAACGTATTAGCAGTACCTATTTGTTTGTTGAAATGATCACGTGATTATATTCTCTTTGTAGCAGTACAGTGAGCATGGAGCAACGCGCGTGGTTGTTACTTTTTCATCGGTGCTTTTCCAAGGAATGTAAAGGCTCCTCCTTCTAGCAAATGAGTGACTGCATTATGATCAACCACTTGATGTGATAAAAAGTATTTAAATTACAAAGATAATTTTAAAGACTAGGGCTTGCATAATATCGCTTTTAGTAGCTAAGGTTCTAAGCAGCATTTAAGTTTTTTACAACATTTAACACTCATTTACTGTTTTTGTATTAGAACGGCTGCATTGAAAGTGTTAAGAGAGGTGTTAAGTACTTCAATAACAATTAAATCTGGAAAAGGTACTCGAATTATAGTAGTGGTTTTGAGATTACATTATTGGGACCACATTATGTCGGACTTTTATTTTTCAGTTAAGCATGGGTAAATAGCTGTTAAGTCAACGCTTGTTTTAATGACAGCCTGCCAGTGTTGGAAAAGAAACCGTTTTAGACGCTAGTATTGGTTTCATTAAAGCAAATGCATGTTATTTTTTTAGAAATCACCGGTTCAACTTGGAGTATGAATTTGACAGAGAAAAAGTCACCGAGCTCAGGGATCTTGTAATGAAAGAAGGGTTTACAGCTTTTATCATTCACTAGGGCAGGGGTCGGCAACCTGCGGCTCTTTAATCAGGGTTTACTCTTAATGTGAAGAAAGTTGAGAATCTTTCAGGCACAATGGGTGTTAAAAATTTAATCTCACCATTTGTAATTATTTCTTTAGAATAGAGTCGTGCTGTTAACGTTCTAGCTTCCTAAGATGTCTTAGCTAGACAATGAAAATCTACGTAAGGGGAATCGAACCCCTAATCCGATTTCAGCGTTATAAATCCGAAGACTTACCGCTGTCCCACTAGGAACCTTTTTTTTCTCGTTCTTCCTTAGACCGTTAGGGCATATTGCGGCTCTCGAAATGTCTTGGTCTTAGAGAAAAACAAAAAATGGCTCTTCTTTGAAGCGTTGCCGATCCCTAAACTAGGGTTATGTTTTACGTCTATTATTATTATTAAGTTACTTATTATGATGTTTTTGCATTTGCCTTTTTTTTTTAGTTGCTTTCATATCTTGTTTGATTTCATGCATGCTATTACGTGTGTTTTAATACATATAATCGGTATTGTGTGGTTATAAGCATGTTTTTCGTTTTTACATTTTTGTTTATTTTACTCTGTTGATTAGTGTTAGCATGTAAATATTCCGCTTTCCCCGTCTGTTCTATTTGCAGATTAGAGTGTGACGTGGCCTGGTAAGTTAGCCAACCGGTGTTCGTGGACAGCAGAAGACTGGTATATTTTGTTGACCTACTTTCTAGTATCCTTTATTCGCCGTGGTCTTTTGTTACATAAACATAATGTGCATATTAGTATTTAGGAAGAGTGATAGTGTGAGGACATTGTATAAAGACAGTGATGTCGTTGGCGATGACGTACGACAAGAGTGGCTGCGTTTCTCGTCAAGAAACGTTGATGTCATTAACTTTTGACAACGGGAGGATGTAACCGGTTAAATGGCCGCTCACATGCACAAATATATAATCGTAGACGGTTTTTTTTTATTTTTTTAAGTAACTTTCAATGATCTCTTGCTGTAAAGCACATGTATGTTGTTCATGAAATAATGTAAAATGTATTTGGTATTAAAAGTTGTTCACTGCACTTCGTGTTTAACATTCTTGAACCAGAAGAGCAGCGAGTTGGGGAAGTGTAAAAATTGAGGTCTGATTTTATTAATTTTTACCTAGATGAGGCTGATTAACCACAGCATAGTTAAGTAATACACGCAGTTCCCTTTAGTGGTACCACGTGGTAACACTAAAATCAACTAGACTATTAAATAATAACGATAACAACGGTGTTAGTTTAAAATCAGTTTTGTCTTCTTTATGGGCCTTGGTAGCTGAACATTTATATCAATTTGGAAGAAACTGTCTGGTACTGATAACAAAAAATACGGCGCAATTGTTAATTATATAGAATATGTAATTTAACGTTTGTTTATTTTATTGCAGATGTCCTGAAAGGCTGAGTTAAACTTTTATTTTTTTTTGTAAATACTTGTAGAATGAAAATAAACGATTATATTTGTTTGCGTAAATAACATTTATATTGTGCATGTTTGACGAGGGTACCCTAGCCCTTCACATAAACCAGGGAATGATGGGTAATTTATGCTAAGAGGCTTA